TTGTAAAAGAATAAAACTACAACGCTTCCTAACACCATACACAAAAATAAACTCAAAGTGGCTTCAAGATCTAAACGTAAGACCGGAAACTACAAAACTTCCTAGAGGACAATATAGGCAAAACACTCTCCGACATAAATCACAGCAAGATCCTCTATGACCCACCTCCCATAATACTGGAAATGAAAGCAAAAATAAACAAAAGGGACCTAATTAAACTGAAAAGCTTTTGCACATCTGTGTCTCTTTTTCTGTTTTGCATGTAGAGTTACCGTTACCATCTTTCTAAATTCCATATATATGCATTAGTACACTGTATTGGTCTTTATCTTTCTGGCTTACTTCACTCTGTATAATGGCCTCCAGTTTCATACATCTCATTAGAACTGTTTCAAATGAATACTTTTTAATGGCTGAGTAATATTCCACGGTGAAGAGGGAGGTGGGAGAGGGGATCGGAAAGGGGAATACATGTTAATCCATGGCGGATTCATAACAATGTATGGCGAACACCACTACAATACTATAAAGTAACTAGCCTCCAACTCATGAAAATAAATGGAAAAAAAAAGTTCTTGCACAACAAAGGAAACTATAAGCAAGGTGAAAAGACAGCCTTCAGAATGGGAGAAAATAATAGCAACTGAAGAAACAGACAAAGGAGTAATCTCAAAAATATACAAGCAACTCCTGCAGCTCAATTCCAGAAAAATAAATGACACAAGCAATAAATGGGCCAAAGATCTAAACAGTTATTTCTCCAAAGAAGAGATACACATGGCTAACAAACACATGAAAAGATGCTCAACATCACTCATTATCAGAGAAATGCAAATCAAAACCTCAGGGAGGTACTATTACATGCCAGTCAGAATGGCTACTATCCAAAACTCTACAAGCAATAAATGCTGGAGAAGGTGTGGAGAAAAGGGAACCCTCTTACACTGTTGGTGGGCATGCAAACCAGTACAGCCAGTATGGAGAACAGTGTGGAGATTCCCTAAAAATCCAGAAATCGAACTGCCATATGACCCAGCAATCCCACTCCTGGGCATACACACCAAGGAAACCAGAAGTGAAAGAGACACGTGTAACGCAATGTTCATCACAGCACTGTTTATAATAGCCAGGACATGGAAGCAACCTAGATGCCCATCAGCAGACGAATGGATAAGAAAGCTGTGGTATATATACACAATGGAATATTACTCAGCCATGAAAAGGAAGGCATTTGAATCAGTTCTAATAAGGTGGATGAAACTGGAGCCCATTATACAGAGTGAAGTAAGCCAGAAAGAAAAACACCAATACAGTATACTAACGCATATATATGGAATTTAGAATGATGGTAACGATAACCCTATATGCAAGACAGAAAAAGAGACACAGACGTATAGAACAGACTTTTGGTCTCCATGGGAGAAGGCGAGGGGATGATCTGAGAAAACAGCATCAAAACATGTATATTATCAAGTGTGAAACAGATTGCCAGTCCAGGATGGATGCATGAGACAAGTGCTTGGGTTGGTGCCCTGGGATGACCCAGAGGGATGGGATGGGAAGGGAGGTGGGAGGTAGGTTCAGGATGGGGAACACATGTAAATCCATGGCTGATTCATGTGAATGTATGGCAAAAAAAAAAAAACTACAATATTGTAAAGTAAGTAGCCTCCAAATAATAAAAATAATTGGGGAAGGGAAAAAAAAAAAAAAAAGAAATCCCTTGCATTCCTATATACTAACAATGAGAAAAGAGAAAAAAAAATTAAGAAAACAATTCCATTCACCATTGCAATGAAAAGAATAAAATACTTAGGAATATAACTACCTAAAGAAACAAAAACCTATCTATGGAAAACTATGAAACAGTGTTGAAAAAAATCAAAGAGTGCACAAATAGATGGAGAAATATACCTTGTTCATGGACTTGAAGAATCAATATAGTGAAAATGAGCATACGATCCAAAGCAATCTATCAATTCAATGCAATCCCTATCAAGCTACCAACAGTATTTTTCACAGAACTAGAACAAATAATATCACAATTGGTATGCAAATACAAGAAACCTCGAATAGACAAAGCAATCTTGAGAAAGAAGAATGGAACTGGAGGAGTCAACCTGCCTGACTTCAGGCTATACTACAAAGCTACAGTCATCAAGACAGTATGGTACTGGCACAAAGACAGAATAGATCAATGGAACAAAACAGAAAGCCCAGAGGTAAATCCATGCACCTATGGACACCTTATCGATGACAAAGGAGGCAAGAATATACAATGGAGAAAAGACAATCTCTTTAAAAAGTGCTGCTGGGAAAACTGGTCAATCACTTGTTAAAGAATGAAACTACAACACTTCCTAACACCATACACATAAGTAAACTCAAAATGGCTTCAAGATCTAAATGTAAGACCAGAAACTACAAAACTCCTAGAGGACAATATAGGCAAAACACTCTCCGACATAAATCATAGCAGGATCCTCTATGACCCACTTCCCTGAGTAATGAAAATAAAAGCAAAAATAAACAAATGGGACCTAATTAAACTTAAAAGCTCCTGCACAACAAAGGAAACTATAAGCAAGGTGAAAAGACAGCCTTCGGAATGGGGGAAAATGATAGCGAATGAAGCAGCTGAGAAAGAATTAATCTCAAAAATATACAAGCAGCTCTCGCAGCTCAACTCCAGAAAAATAAACGACCCAATCAGAAAATGGGCCAAAGAAATAAACAGACATTTCTCCAAAGAAGACATACAGATGGCTAACAAACACGTGAAAAGATGCTCAACATCACTCATTATCAGAGAAACACAAATCAAAACCACAATGTGGTACCATCTTACGCCAGTCAGAATGGCTACAAACAGTAAATGCTGGAGAGAGTGTGGAGAAAAGGGAACCTTCTTACACTGTTGGTGGGAATGCAAACTAGTACAGCCACGATGGAGAACAGTGTGGAGATTCCTTAAAAATCTGGAAATAGAACTGCCATATGACCCAGCAATCCCACTCCTGGGCATACACACTGAGGAAACTAGAAGTGAAAGAGACACATGTACCCCAGTGTTTGTCACAGCATTGTTTACAATAGCCAGGACGTGGAAGCAACCTAGATGTCCATCAGCAGACAAATGGATAAGAAAGCTGTGGTACATATACACAATGGAATATTACACAGCCATTAAAAAGAATGCATTTGAATCAGTTCTAATGCCGTGGATGAAACTGGAGCCTATTATACAGAGTGAAGTAAGTCAGAAAAAAAAAAAAAAACACAAACTCAGTATATTAACACATATATAGGGAATTTAGAAAGATGGTAATGATGACCCTATATGTGAGACAGAAAAAGAGACACAGATGTATAGAACAGTCTTTTGGACTCTATGGGAGAAGGCGAGGGTGGGATGATTTGAGAGAATAGCATTGAAACATATATATTATCATATGTGAAACCGATTGCCAGTCCAGGTTTGATGCATGAGACAGGGTGCTCAGGGCTGGTGCACTGGGATGACCCTGAGGGATGGGATGGGGAGGGAGGTGGGAGGGGGGTTGAGGATGAGGAACACATTGTACATCCATGGCTGATCCATGTCAACGTATGGCAAGACCACTATGATACTATAATTAGCCTCCAATTAAAATAAAAGATAAATAAAGAAAAAATATCTTCCATAGATAATTTTATAAACTCTGGTGGTATTTTTTCTTTCCTTATGATTTTATAATAACAAGTAGTCTAAATAAGAAAAAAGCATAAGTCGTGATTTCATTCACTTAATGTATGTAATTACCCATTATTTGCTGACATTCAGAAAAAGAAATCAGAATTTCTCCAGAGGAAAAAATACAGTTCTCCAGTTTTTCTTTCAAATTGTTGCAGCTGAAAATTTTCTCATTTAATGAAAAGAGATTAAGAATCGTGTTTATAAAATTATAAATTATAATTTTAGTAAAAAGGATAGATAGAATGCTTCTTTATTTCCTCTTTATTTTCAGAAAGATCTAAAACACCCACCAAGGTTATAGCAAACAGTTTAAGATAAATTAGGTGAGTACATTTAAGTATATAGTGTCAGACACGAATGAGCGACTGAACTGAACTGAAGTTAGAAACCACAAGAAACAGAAGGGCCAAAAATTCTTAACTCATAATACATCTCCTAAGGCCTAAAACAGGGCTCATCTTGAATTGTCGCTAAACAAAAGTTTTGCTAGGTTAAATAGAAGACATTGCTCCATTAATTTCAAAGTGAGATTTTTAAAAGAGAAATTTTTAAAGAGAAATCACTTCAAATTTAAATGGACTTCCAGAGGGAACTATATTCAAAAAACATATGTACATACACAAGTATAAACAAATCACGTTACTGTACACCTGAAACTTACAGGTATTTTAAACTGACTACACTTCAATTGAACGAAAAAGCAAGAACCACCACCAACCTCGAAAACAACCACCAAAAACAATAAGGAACACATTTTCTTTCAGTTCATCATAAAAATCAGCTATATGCCATTCAAAAGAGTATGAGCATTGTTTTTTCATGACCTCACTTTCTCTTCTTACGTTGAATTTGAAATAATGTCTCACAGAATTATAACATAAGAGTTCCTGGTGTGACTTACCCCCCACTATTTCTGTTCTGTGGGTAAAATAATCTGTCTCATCTTCACCCTCATTCCATCTTATATTCATCTTGTCCTTCTTAAAGGAATTCTTCCCCTTCATCCTCCTCCCCATCTTCATATTCATCTAGTTGTTTTTCCTCAGTGCTTTGTAATTCAGTACTTTCATAATGATATACTTAGTATGCCAATATTTTTAAATCTGAATCATGCACATGTATGGCTCTTATTATCACACCATTTCGTATCGTGACTTTGAGGGCTTCTATTTCTCTGGTGGGATTCTTTCTGTCTTCATAAGGATCAGGGGAATGGTATGTAAACAAGTACAGGGAAAGAAGAGTTACAAACAGAACCACTTACCTTTGCAGGACCAAGGCCTGCTACAGACTTGAGAAGTTTTGGAACAGGCTCAAGTGATGGGAAGGCAGGCTGACAGATGCCCTCAAACCAGGGTGATGGTTTGGGAAATGTTTCAACCACATCTTCAATGTTACTATCAGAATTATTGTCCTCAGAGAAAGTGGTACTCTCTGGTCTCAAAATGCCACACTTTGCTTCCACTACAGTGAAAACAGGAGAGAGTACATGAGAACATGTGTCATTTCAAATCAGGGAATAACACCAGAAGGACAGTCTTCGAATAACTTACTGTTTCTGTCGGACTGCTGAGAAGGCTTCATGAGCTTTGTTAACTTTGGTTTCATGACATGCTGGAGAAGAAAATAAGAGCTTGAAGAATATAACAAGTATCAACCTGAATAAATGTATAACATCCTCCACTCCTCTATGATCTAACACAAAGAGCACAGGCTCTGGAGTCATTCAGATGTGGATTCAAATCCCAGTTCTGCCACTGACTGACCTGCTCATGGGGAAAGGATTATGACAGATGACATCAGAAGCCCTGGATGTTCCTCTCCTTACCCCTAATTGACAGCTATATAAATACGATGACACCCACTAGATTACTTTCTCTAGCAAAATATTCGAGAGTAATAACTTATTCCCAGGACTTCAGAGCACGATTGAAAAACTAAGACATTTAAATTAATTGCTATATTTTAAAATCTGCTTCCATGATTAATATACACATGAATTATCACTTGGGAAGGGAAACATGAAAGTTGAGGTTTTAGCAGAACCTCATTTAGATGGGCTAGAACTGCAAACAGGATAAGCTACTTCTATTCTGTTTGTCAAACAGCTAGAGATATAAAACAGGGGGGAAAAAAATCAGCTGCTTCTATGAAACAGGGAAAGAGCAAGGTTAAACCCGTAGGGCAATGATCATGAATGAAAGCCACAAACAGTCTAAACAGACAGCCATAAGAAAACACGTGCATAACAGGGGAAGAGAGAGATGGACTGAAAGAACAGACACTGAAGAAATTTGCTCTGCGAGAAAAAATTACAATAAATATTTTTAAAAAGAAATTAAAAAGGTAGAGGAGAAAGAAGAAAGGAAAAGGTGAGACATTCTTAGTCAAGAACAAACTTCACAGGGGAAAAAAAAAGTATACTAAGGTATGTGGAGAAACACATCTATTTAGAATTTATATACAAAAGATCAGTAATATAGCAGTATTCTTAAGGATATACTATCAGCAAAGCCTCTTTTTCATATGATTTTATTAATCTAATTATATGCATCTACACTGTTCCTCAAATTTTATGAAGATATCGACATCAGTTCAGGTCAGTTGCTCAGCTGTGTGCGACTCTTTGTAATCCCATGGACAGCAGCACACCAGGCTTCCCTGTCCATCACCAATTCCCGGAGGTTTTACAAACTCATGTCCATCGAGTCGGTGCTGCCATCCAACCGTCTCATCCTCTGCCGTCCTCTTCTCCTCCCGCCTTCAAACTTTCCCAGAATTGGTATTTTCCAATGAGTCGGTTCTTCACATTGGATGGCCAAAATATTGGAGTTTCAGCTTTCTGAATGTTGAGTTCTAAATCAACATTTTCACTCTCCTCTTTCACTTTCATCAAGAGGCTCTTTAGTTCTTTAATTTCTGCCATCATGGTGGTGTCATCTGCGTATCTGAGGTTATTGATATTTCTTCTGGCTATCTTGATTCCAGCTTGTGCTTCATCCAGCCCAGCATTTTATGATGTACTCTGCATGTAAGTTAAATAAGCAGGGTGGCAATTTACATCCTTGATGTACTCCTTTCCCCATTTGGAACCAGTCTATAGTTCCATATCCAGTTCTAACTGTTGCTTCTTCTCCTGTATACAGATTTCTTAAGAGGCAGGTCAGGTGGTCTGGTATTCCCATCACTTGAAGAATTTTCTACACTTTCTTGTGATCCACAGAGTCAAATGCTTTGGCACAGTCAATAAAGAATGAGTAGATGCATTTCTGGAACTCACTTGCTTTTCTTATGATCCAGAGGATGTTGACAATTTGATCTCTGGTTCCTCTGCCTTTTCTAAATCCAGCTTAAAGATATGAAGCTCATGGTTCATGTAATCTTGAAGCCTGGCTTGGAGAATTTTGAGCATTACTTTCCTAGCGTGTGAGATGAGGGCAATTATGTGGTAGTTTGAACATTCTTTGGCATTGCCTTTCTTTGGGATTGGAAGGAAAACTGAACTTTTCCAGTCCCGTGGCCACTGCTGAATTTTCAGATTTGCTGGCATATTGAGTACAGCACTTTCACAGCATCAACTTTTAGGATTTCAAATAGCTCAACTCCAATTCCATCACCTCCACTAGCTTTGTTCGTAGTGATGCTTCCTAAGACCCACTTGACTTCGCATTCCAGAATGTTTGGCTCTAGGTGAGTGATCACACCATCCTGGTTATCTGGGTCATGAAGATCTTTTTTGTAGAGTTCTGTGTATTCTTATACACCTCATCTTAATGTATTCCACTTCTGTTAGTCCATACCATTTTGTCCTTTATGGTGCCCATCTTTGCATGAAACGTTCCCATGGTATCTCTAATTTTCTTGAAGAGATGTCTAGTCTTTCCCATTCCATTGTTTCCTCTATTTCTTTGCATTCATCCCTGAGAAAGGCTTTCTTATCTCTCCTTGCTATTCTTTGGAACTCTGCATTCAAATGGGTGTATCTTTCCTTTTCTCCTTGGCCTTTTGCTTCTCTTTTTTCTCAGTTATTTGGAAGGCCTCCTCAGACAACCATTTTGCCATTTTGCATTTCTTTCTCTCCAAGATGATCACTGCTTCCTGTACAATGTCATGAATCTCCATCCATAGTTCTTCAGGCACTCTGATTATCAGATCTGATCTCTTGAATCTATTTGTCACTTGCAGTGTCTAATCATAAGAGTAAATACTACATGAAACTAAATTCAGAGCATGAACACAAATTTCACAACAGAACACTTTACCTTGGTTTTAAAATCTAAGACTTCATTGTCTGATGTAGGCCCTAAATCAACGCCAGGTTCATTGGGAAACCTTTAAAGCAGAAACATACAATAAAAATGAGTGAGCTCATTTCCTTGAACAAAAGAAAAAAGAAAATAAAAACGAGTGAAAGTCTCTCTATATATTAAACTTTCTTGACATGAATAAAATTTGGCCTGTTTTAAAACAGCTTTTTTTTTTAATTTTTTAAAGACTTTTTTGATGTGGACCACTTTACTGAATTAGTGCCAATGGTGCTTCTATTTTATGTTTTGGCTGTCTGACCCCGAGGCATGTGAGATCTTAGCTTCCCTGACTGAGAATCGAACCCACACTGCCTACACTAGACGATGTCTTAGTAATCATCTTAACCACTGCACCCCCAGGGAAGTCTCCAATAATGTTTTTCATTACCTATCTGCTTCCTTGTCTCCCAATCTATGAAATATCTAGTTAAAAATCATTCTTAGTTTCCATAAAAGAGAGTGACAGCAAATATATCAGCAGAGCCTAAAAATAATTTGTTTTCACCAAAAGTTCTAATAGCTGAACTGAAAATCCAATTGATGGACTGAAATTATTCTTGCTTGCCCAAACTGGAATAAACCTGATGTCTTAAAACAAAGCGGAAGAATAGGCTTTGCCTTCTCCATTGTGTGTTCAAGGCTCAGAGACGGATCTGAGTTGGTCCAAAAGGGGAGTCTTGGTCCATCAGCAGGGTGCCACTCATTGAGATGGCACCACTTCTCTCCTTTACTCTAAGAGGGAGTACAGGGAGTTTAACCACAATGTCAAAACTTAAAATGTACACAAGTCAAAGGACTAATTTATATCTTTAACTTATATGCTACACGGGTACTTCTCAGTCTCTGCTGAGGGCCATGGGAGTGGACGTGGGAGCCAGGAAGGCCAGATGTCAAATCACAGGTCAACTCATTTTAACCAGGGTCAATTCATTAACCTCCTGAAACCACAGTTGCCTAATTAAGTAAAAGTAGGACACAGCTACTTTACGAAGCTGCTGTGCTGACTCTATGAGGTCACAAATGTTAAGCACGTAATGCAGTGTCTAACCCAGGGTAGAACACTCAACAAACATTAGTTTCACTTATTCCATGTTCCCTTAGTTAAACATATAATTTAAAACATCCATAAAATCCTACCTGCTTGAAGAGTCCTCTTCAGGACTCTCATCCGCTATTAAAGAAAAATCAAGACACATTTTAAATCAACAGAAGAAAAATACAGAATATGAACACCTCAAGACTGATGCTTTGTTTAAAAGTATTCCTTTCAAACCACACCTGGAGGCCACACTAGAGGAAGGGAACAGTGGTTGTACCATTCTCATAGGCTCACCTAAGAATGCCTAAGAACCACTCCTCCCCTTTATAGTCATCACATGCAAAACAAAGAAACAAAGAAAGAACTGCTCTTTACAATGACCATAATCCTAACCAAACTCTAGGAGACTGACAGACCATGATACTATACCATTAATAGAATCAGTACTATAAGCTGACAATAGCACACTTAAATAGCACAGTATTTCTGGACTTCCATTGCCTGGAGCACTGAACAGAGACTGTAGGTGCCTTGCTGGGACATGACAACTCCTCTGGCTCTTCAGTTCAGAATGAAAACACCCTATCACAGGGAAGCTTGGTCCACAGGCACTGAACTCCAGAGTGTGGTAAAGCATAGGAAGCAAAGTCTTCTCCGCCTGGCCCTCTTTCCAAAGACAAGAGAAGTATGAAAGAAGTAGTCATTCCAGACTTAGAAAGGATAATCTCTTGAAAGGGAGGTGGGGGAGGGCAAACGAGTAACGGGGATCAACTCGGTGCTGAGAGTGGGGACTCTTCTTGTAGACTTGTAGTGCTGAGATTGCAGTAGGTTACACAGAAGCTGAGCTTTTTAAAAAAGTTCCATATATATACACACACACACACACACACACATACACACACAAGACACACACACACAGACACTAATATGTCTAAAAAGAATCTCTTGAGACTGTCTCCTTCCATTGCTCAAGAGTATCTGCACCACATAGAGCAGGATGGTCCAAAGAGTGCTGTGTACTAGTGAGGGCTATCATTATATCAATCCTTCCCATTATATGGTAAATGTTTATAGAAATCATGCTTTTTCAGCTTGGAAGGCATACGTCATCACATCCTAAGCTGATGAACAAGGGGAGGGAGGGAAGAAGGGAGGGAGACACGGACTCTGGTTCTGCTAAACAACGTTTCCCAGGGGTCGTCATGATCTGATGCTGGAGGGATGACTCACATGCAGCGACTCCACGGGGAGAGGAGCACTGCAAGCTTGAGCCTGGAGAGCAGGGGCAGTGAATTTTAACTGTTTTCACTCTGTGACATCAGAACAATGCTTAGTACACAAAAGACACTTGAAAATTATCTTTTTAGTGAACAAATGAGCAAATAAATAAGCATGTTTTCTTTGAAAATTTTGTTTAGAAAAATACAGAAATTAAAGAAAAAAAGAAAAATACAGAAATTAACCAGAGAAAACTCTATTCTATTCTGAGAGTACTGAAGACCAAGACACTCTCATCTCTGTATCTCCTCTGACTAATGTATTAAACCAACCTACAGTTCTTTGATAGATGTTTTTGTTGTTCAGTCACCAAGTCCTGTCTGACTCTTGTGACCCCATGGACTACAGCTCACCAGGCCCTTCTGTATATGGAATTTCCCAGGCAGGCGTACTGGAGTGCATTGCCATTTCCTTCTCCAGGGGATCTTCCCGACACAGGGATCAAACCATATCTCCTGCATTGGCGGGTGGATTCTTTACTACTGAGCCACCTGGGAAGCCCCATTTGATTAGATAGAGGTCTACTCAGTCAACGGTATCCTCGGATACCCTGTACAATATGCTAGATGCCACATACAGTGGACCTAATGCGGTTTTTGTTAATGCAAAGTGTTTCTGTGCTTTTATTAGAACCTGCAGAGTCCCAAGTCCATCTATTTGGAGATCTATTATGATAATTTTTTAACTGATGGCAAGAGAGCATCTTGTTCTTACAAAACTATACTGTCATGACAACTGGCCAACACACAAAAGAAAACATCTGGTCCCAATGAAGTCAATCTATCTCACTCTCTTTGGATCTGTAAGGAATGAAGTTGGTAAGCTACACCCGCTTGGTACAAAAATAGGCAAAATAACTGGTTCTCAACCAGGCTTTTTGGCCTTCCGTACTATTGGTAAGTGTCTTTCAGAAATAATCTCTCACTACTATGCTGCACACTGGCTCGGCTTTGCAGTTCTTATTGTTTATCATTTCTTATCCTAACAGGAAGGGATTATTCAGGTTCCCAGTTTTAATGATGGTAACTATTTTAGTGAGACTAATCACTACACAGTAACTACTAACTATTCATTCACTAAATGCAAACCATTTCTATAAATGAAAGTTCACTTTCATAAGAAGTCCAATCTGCTATAATATGACTATAGGTGAAATATACATAATACTCACTTAATTTTTTTTTCTTTCTGATTTACACAAAGATCTAGCATAGAACTTTAGGGGCCATATTAACTAGATGGATTTCTTTTCAGACAATACTGTCTTTGCTGTTAAATCACCTACAATTAACTTCTTAATCACTTCTGAATACTAGAGTATTAGGAAATTAATTTTAAAAATAAAATACACATGCAATTTATGCTAATTTTTCATAGTTCTTTCATTATTGAAACTTCTTCACTCCTACTTTATCTATGGTAGAATCACCAAAAGTAATCTGATATCATATGACGTACCTGGGTTGCTCTTTTCAGAAGTTTTAGGTCTCTTTTCTTTATATTCAGAAATCAGTTGGTGAAAGCTATGTATTTAAAATGTGATAAGTAATATTTTAACACTGATATGAAAAACTACCAAATTCTTAGATCATTTCAGACAATGCCAGAGATAATATCAAAACTTCAATTGTCCCATACATTTCAAGTTTCTAAGTTCTATACGCTTTTATTTAGCATGTAGTAAAGGAGAAAGTAAAGGTATATTGTCACCCTGCTTATTTAACCTCTATGCAGAGTACATCATGACAAATGCAGGGCTGGATGAAGCACAAGCTGGAATCAAGATTGCCAGGAGAAATATCAATAACCTCAGATATGCAGATGACACCAGCCTTATGGCAGAAAGGGAAGAAGAACAAAAGAGCCTCTTGAGGAAATTTGATATGCTTTAACATGTGAACACCTTGCCCATTCATGAAGAATTGACCATTTACAGGCTCAAGGGTTCATCTTTGTAAATCACCTCCAAGGCTAAAATGAAGGGACAGAAAAGAAGTCTCCTGTCCCATTGGGATGCCAGGTAGCAGCACTTACTATTTCAAAAGTCCCTGATGGGGACTTCCCTGGTGGGCCAGGGGAAAGACTCCAGGCTCCCAATGCAGGGGGCCCAGCTTCTATCCCTGGTCAGGAAACTTGATCCCATATGCTGCAACTAAGAGTTCCCACAACTAGGACCCCACGCAGCCAAATAAATAAATAAATGTATTTTTAGAAGAATAATAAAGTCCTTAGTGGACAGGAAACGATGCTGAAGTCACTTATCTGAGGCAGGTGACTATTTAAGGGATGAATTCCCCATTTTCTCCTTAGTCTGATATATTTGGCTTCAAAGTCAGCTAGAGGTTGGATTAAGAAAAGGCTACTTGCAGGCTTAAATCAAAAATACTGATAATAATGGGAATAAAAATAGTCATGGTGGCAGTTAATGATGTGGACAGGCATGTGCTAGGCAATAAAAATGAAATACTATATATAAAATCTTTCTCACACACAGGCACCTTTGAAAGATACACTACAATTTGTCTTGCATATCAGGAAACTTATTTGCTGATGATAAATAACCATAATCAGTAGGAAACCTAGGAATTGAACCTAGTCTGAATCTAAAGCCCATCATTTTCATCTGTATCATCCACCTCTGACTTGGCTTTGTTAAAGGAACTCTTTATCCAATCAAAGCTATCTTTCTTCCTTCTACCTGCATTAAAAATGAAAATATCAAAATGTACTAAAATGAGAAAGGATAAAAATTCATGAGCCCACAGAATCTGGTGACAGTGAGTAAGAATCACCTTTTTGTGGCTGTTGTTATTTAGTTGCTATGTTGTGTCTGACTCTTTTGCAACCTAATAACATCAGCATTCTTCAAAGAAAGTAATTTAAAGCAAAGAGTTATCCAAAAGACAAAATCGAGTCTTTTAGGTTTACTATCCATCTTTTAAAAGTATATACATACAAAGTAGAGATTAAGAATTCTTTTAAAAGAATTAAGAAACTCGATACTGCCATGAGGTAAACTAAAAAGCAGAATCCATATTTCATAAAGCCAATAAAACTAATTTGAAATCCCTCAGCTATTCCAAGATCGACAAAACAAACAAACAAAAAACAGGTTGCATATGACATCAGTCAATATTACAAAGGAATATCAATCCTGCTATACATTCCTGCTATATATTGTTCATGACTCCCAGTCAGAATAATTGATTTTCTACCTATGTGATGATGTGTTGATTACAAATGAATCCTCTTATTCATTTAATCTTGATATTACCATCCTAGAACAGCACTGAGGGTTTTAAAAAGAAAAAGAACAATGGTACCTTTTCATCTTGTCAACCGCATGTAGACTTGCTTCTTTGTCTACTAAAAACTCCACCATTTCTCCTCTCCTTTCATGTACAGCAAGTAACAATGGTGTGAGGGCATCCTGTAAAACAGGGAAAACCATTTCTAATGTACACAGTTAACCTATTTCTAAGCTGACATTAAAATCGTGCAATAGGCTCTCGGAACTTAAAAATACAATGCAGAAAGTAAATGAAAAAGTGCCCCCTCCTCCTCATCGCCCTGTGCACCTTCATTTTCCTTAACATGCTCCTCCTCTGGGCCTTCCCTGGTGGTCCAGTCGCTAAGAGTCAAGCTCCCAATGCAGGGGGTGCCCGTATCATTTAGCTACTGTATCAACTGTGTATTTTAGGAACAATGCTGAGGCAGGAATATATAATACTATCTGTAGCATGCATAACTCATCCAAGGATGACCATGAGTACACTCAAAAGGTTTTCAGACTTGCCAATGGGAATACTATTCTCTACATGAACATGTAAAGAGAGAAACTTTTCTTCTTTTTTTTTTTTCCAAAAAATCAACCGTGGGAACCCTGTTTTACTGCTTTCTCAGAAATGTCACCTGGAATTTAATCTTACTCATTCTCTCTTCCTTGCTTGCTCTTTCCACTGCCCTTCCTTAAGTCAGACGTTCTGGTTGACAGGTCAGCATTAGCTAGATGCTAACTCCATGCAGAACGAGGGCCCTCCCCACCTTATCTTCAAAGACCCTTCTTGATGACTCTCATGTGATTACCTCCAGACCACCAGGAGGAAGCTTCCAAAACCCCAGAGTTCTGGCGTCTCTCTCGCTTTCCTGCTCTTAGTTAAAGATTGCAACATAAAATTACCAATAAATACATGCCCACCAGTTTCTCCAGGAGCTGCTCCTCCACGAGCTCTCCCTGCACTGTCTCTTATAATCTGGTGTGCTTGTGAGAGTTATTCAGTGTGAAACCACCACAATGAACTTAAAAATTCTAATTTGAAAAATTCAATCCCATTCTTAATAGATTTTTTAAAATATGAAATCAATTATAGATTAGACTGTCTTTAAAACCTTCAAATATTTATCAATCAAAAATTGGAAACTCAAATGCTTATGGATGGAAAGCTGATGACCTGAGTAAGTGAAAAAGCCAGGTGAGACCGGTAACCTCCAAAACACATGTCCCATACAGAAGGGGTAGCCTCTGCATGCAGACCAAACAGTACGATGGGCTCAAGGGGGCCCAGATTTGCTCCTTGGAGAAGCCTGAACTTCTGTATGAGCCTCGTCAATTTGAAATGTTGACTCAATGTGTGGAGGTAAACTAAACATACCCAAGGGCCATATTTGGTCTATTGCCCACTTCTGGTTTTATGTTTGCTGTTTCCAAACAGGTGGGCATAAAGCAAATATTTGTTTGTGAAAACTTTCTTTTCTTTAGTATCATATGTTTCACAAAAAGTGGGTCCCAATATGTAGTAAATAAGCCTATTGAGACTCATAATTCAATTCAACATAAATTCTTTTAAAAAGACTCCTAAATCACAGTCAAGAATGTTTCCACTGCCTGTTGAAACTACAAGCTATCTCTAGAATTCTTCTATATTGTTAATCAAATGTATAATGAGTTCCTAAGCCCGCTGAAAATAAATGCTTAAAACAATTCCCCTCTCTACTGTTACTAACTGTACGGGTTTTAAAGCTCTCCTCTGCTTATGTCAGGGATCAGCAATTCTAACAGACACACTGCAAGAGTCTGTCCTGCAGCTGACACCAAAACAGGCTCATAAGTTACTATTACTGCAGTCAGGAAAACCCTGTTGGTAACAAACATCTGTTGACCTAATGACCTGGATGATAAGAGAAGGTGTAAAATCCTTAAAGGGTCAGACTCTACAGATGAAGTGACTTCGTCATGAGAAAATCTCTAAAGACTCTCGGAATGTCACTGAATGATGAGTGGTTGGAAGGAAAAGGAGTTACCGTTCCAGCCCATAGATATTGCCAAAGGTACTCCTTTTAGTGTCTCAAACACAGGGGCAGAGAAAAAGTCAGGCTAATGTTGTTGGAAAGGAGGGAGCTGATGGAAGTAGCTAGCACTGATCAAACTCCAAATGCTTCCAGACACTACTTTCTTTTCTGAAGGGTGCATTTAGAAATTACATGTGTTCACTCCATAGTTATTCATCAAGGGCTGAATCAGAATCTCAAGGGAATAGTTCTAAACACACACGTCCAAATGTTCCTTGATTTACTCAGTCAAAATCTTCAGGGAACAGCCTAGGCTTGTAAATTTTTTAAATAAGTTTTCCCAAATGATTGTGGTTCGCCAGCAGAATATAGCTGAGATTTAGTGCAGCAACCACGCCAGTCTCATCTCTTACTCACAGAGCCAATTCCTTCTCTTACGTGAGGGTTTGAATAAAAAAGAAAAATGTAAGAGGTAAGAGTCATCAAAACTGCAATTTTTTAGATTTCCCTGGGTAAACAGTAGTAGAACAGGGACTAGTAAAGCCAAAAGGCAACCTGATCTCATTATTTATAAACCCCTTCCTTCCCATCAAGACATTCTAGATGGGAGAGCAGAGTCTAGACTCTTATCTAAGTGGATGGTTCTGGTTCTGCCAGAACAGGATAATGTATCAGTTAATTATTTGTTCTTCTCTCTTAATTCCCACTTAATAGCCACCTGTTCACTGCCAGTCTGCTTTGCTCAGAGTCTTCTTAAAACTGGCATCTTCATGAGACAAGTGCTCGGGCCTGGTGCACTGGGAAGACCCAGAGGGATCAGGTGGAGAGGGAGGTGGGAGGGGGATCGGGATGGGGAATACCTGTAAACCCATGGCTAATTCATGTCAGTGTATGACAAAAACCACTACAATATTGTAAAGTAATTAGCCTCCAACTAATAAAAATAAATGAAAAAAAAATAAAGTTATGTTTACATATGGAAAAAAAAACTGGCATCTAGGCAACTTTACAATTCACTCACAGTCTTTTGCGAAATAACAATTATTATCCCTGAAAACTGAAAAGCACCTCACAGAAATATATAAACTGACAGGAATAAAAAGCACAAACTAAAATCTCGGGACTTCCGTGGTTGTCCCGTGGCTGGGTCTCAGTGCTCCCAGTAAAGGGGGCCTGGGTTCGACCCCTGGTCGGGACACTAGATCCTACATGCTGAAACTAAGCCCAGCACAGCCAAATAAATAAATATTAAAATAAATAAATCCTCTTCTTGGCATTTCCCAACTGCCAAAATTCTGGCCTCACTTGCACTTTTCACTTGCTCGCTCTTTTTCCTTTCCTTCGCCCTCTTAAGATTTGGGCAGTGACAGAGAAACCGTGCTTATATAAATCATTTTTCATAAAATGCGAATTTGTCAACAGCAGCAAGATTTCTATTGTGTTGTAAAATGCTTTCGTTATGTTTGAATTTTAAGACAAAGTCTACTGAGGCAAATTTTGCTTTACTGTGTTATTTTAGACTGATTCAAAAAATAAAAAAAAAAAACTTAAGTGGGGGAAAATATTTGGAAAATGTTTTACCTTTAACAAGTACAGTGTTAGCATAAATCCCGGCCATAAACACATAAAGGAACGCTTTACTCTCTAATGCTTGAGAGATATCATGATTTAAAGTGAAATCTTATACAACTTGGTTCCTTCAAAATACTTTCACTCAGGGAAGACTGGAGCTCCCAAACATGGAAAACTGAGCCCACCTGTGAGAGTGGGGGAAGGTCCTGGTGGGGCTGCAGAAGCTGGACTTCACATGCTTCCTGAAGAAAGAGCAGGAAGGGCAGCTCCCCAGGCACAGCTGCAACCCCACCGAGCAGCTCCCCAGAACTGAGCGTGGAGGACCCCAAGGTGTACCTGGTGAACCAAGTGGTCACCAGCGCAAGTGGTGTCAAACATGACCTGACCTGCCTAGCCGGATCTCAGAACCAGGGGTCCTGGAGAGTGCAGGGCTCCAGGACTGCTGCCTCCCAGGCCCACTTGCACTCACCGAGCTCCATGATGGGCACTGGGTCTCCTTCCTCCTCTGCCCACCCCCAGCGGCACACATTCCCTGAGCCCCTGTCAACAGCCAGTCCCCACATCACTTCCCTCCCCACGGGCCTTCATTTCCTGTGGGCTCGGAGCCTACCACCCACTCCCACGCACGTTCTAATGGGAAAACCTTCCTTCTGGGGTAGAAGGGTGGCTGGCAGACAGAGCTCTGTCTTTTCTGGGGGCACCTACTTTTTCCACCCCTGCCCCTTGACTCAGGTTTAGAATTGTTTCCATGGTAACAGGGCCTCATGGGCACTATTCAGTTTACCTATTTACATACTGTTGTAAATAAAACACTTGTAGATTTAAAAAAAATGCTTCGCAAACATTTGGTCAATAAAGTTAGCTGACCAGTACCTTGTTCCTGGCTTCCATATGGGCGTTGTAGGAAAGCAGCTTTGCTGCGAGTGATAAATTCTGACAAAAGACAGCGTAGTGGAGCGCGGTGTTGCCACAGGCGTCCATGACATTTGGGTCGGCGCCATGCTCCAGCAGGAGAGTCACGCAGCCCTCATCTTGGCATTCTACGGCCTGTCAGTGTTGTGCCAAGAAACAGAGTATGAGTACTAGGAATTCAAAGGAAACAGTCCACACGTTTCACCAGTTCCCTCTATTTCAATGAGATAAATTCATTTTTAGTCTCAGCAGTTAAATCACATCCATCTCATGTGGACATGGTTTGCTGCCCCATACCTTCATCAGCGCTGTCCTGTTTTCATTGTCACAGAGGTCAAGCAGGCATTTTCTCTCCAGGAGGAGAGCCACCACTTCTAAATGGCCATTGGCACAGGCCAAGTGGAGCGCAGTCCTACAAAAGCAGGAGCAGTTTTTAGGAAACTGTAGTGTCACAGTTTTAAAACAAACGACTGTTCATGTGATTGAAAACACTCAACAGCATGGTACTCCTATCCCTCTAAAACAAATATTTTGTTTTCTTCTGGAGAAAGAGCAGCATATATCAATCAGCTTTAGCTCCTCTTACACTGTAAGGAAAGAACAATCTACTTGAATAGAATGCGCAAGACCTCGAGATTCAGCTCAACTTGGGTTTGAATTTGACTTTCACTCTGTCACTTATTAGCTGTCACTCAGCCTCGTTGTGCCTCAAGTTCCTCATCAACAAAATGGAGAGAGAGTAGCAGTTATCTCACAGGACACCGCTGCGATGCTTAAATGAGATCCATGCACAGATAAGAGCTGGTAATGGTTAGATTCGAATATCAAAGTTACTACTATTACTACTGTCTTACAAGGACAACATCTGAATGAAGTCAAAGGATATTACAACTCCTTTGCAGATATGTTTTGAGGATTAGAGACAACATTGTACTTCGATGATTATAATATGCTTATTTTCTCACATGTTAACGTCTCTGACATTGAAATATAACTTATAATTCACAGGCTTTAAAACTGTAAATTGTAGCATTTCTGTTTGTTCATTTCTCATTTTTCCTGTTGGTCTAATTACCATGAGGTGTTTTCATTTAAGTTTCTTTAGAGATGATGTCTGTTATATATTATTCTATAATACAGGCGCACAACACAGTGATCCACAACTGTTAACGGTTACACTGCATTTAAAGTGACTATAAAATATTAGCTATATTCCCCATGTTGGACAATATATCCTTGTAGCTTGCAGGATTTTAGTTCCCTCACCAGAAATCGAACCCTGGGCCCAGAGCAGTGAGTCTCAACCCCTGGATGGCCAGGAAATTCCCAAGATTCCCTTGACTTCTGAAAAGGCTGAAAGTTGTCACAGGATACCAATCCTCACAAATAAATTGAAAGTGACAAATTATTTTCATCTGTGCCACATTCCTATGAGTGCCAGAAAGATAAACCCTGTCTGCTCATCCGACTTCCTACAGACAGCTTGATCTACAGAGATTTTTAAATTTGGGGGGTTGCTAAATCAACGTTCAGATTTTTTTTGTTTTTTTTTTTTGGTGTGGAAACCCAGGAAACTCCTGAGTGTTTGCCTTTGAAATCATTCTTAGAAAAGTCTCTGGGGTGGGATATGTGTATACTTACAACTGATTTATGATGTTGTACAGCAGAAACCAAGACAACACTGTAAAGCAATTACCATCTAATTAAAAAGATACTAAGGTTAGTAACCAGTAAAACGAGAAAAAAAAGGTCATTGTCAGCACACAAAAAATGTATCAATAGGAATTTCAGTTTTCTTCTGGTATTTTTCTCACCCTGTGTATTTCAAACGTTTGATACATACTCCATCTGAAACTTTTTGGAGAGAGAAAAATCGAGTTACTTTTCTCTTAATAGTGACCAGGTTATTTCTCTACCATCTACACATAATTTATCTTTACTAATAGAAAATGTCATCAAGCAAATTTTGATCATCTAAAAGGGCAAATCTTTGTCTACTATACAAAACTTCCAATTTCATCACAATTAAAGACAGCATGTGTAACCCAAAACCTTTAAAACCACGATATGTTTATTTGGTTTAAATATGGAAAGACCATATATCCTAAGAAAATGTCTTCCTATTCAAGAACACAGTCAGCTTCCTACTTCAAAGCTGTCTTCTAAGGTCCTTCAGCAAGGAATATATACACAGAAGTGTACAGTGATATAAAATGGATATTGCATTGTATCTGAAGAATTTTTAACCCAGAAGTTGACCTGTCATGGGGATTATTTTTCTCACTATGCAGTTTTCTGGAATATATAAATTATGGTATGAAAATGTGTACATTAAAAATAAGATGCCGACAACATCAAAAATCTGTCCACTGCCAATATCCACAATGGACGATCCATGGGAAGAAGAGTTTTCATAAATCACATGAGAAAAACAATGTGAGAGCCAGGGAGTTCCAGAAGATTTCTTGAGGGCTATAGAACTTGAGAGCTCTTACTCATGAGTACACCATGTTAACGCATGCATAACAACAAATGAAAAGGAGGAGGAAGAAGAGGAAAAAAAGGTGCTATTCATGTTTTATTTCAGTTCTGTGATTACTGACATTCAGTTAAATAACTTTAAAGTGGCCAGTAAGTGCTCTATAAGGAGAATTATAAGCGGGGTCCAAAACCAGCTAAGGCTTTTGCAGCCTATCAAGTTTGCGGGGTGCTGGATCCCAGGAAGGTGTCCAAGAGCCTTGGAGGGGAGACTCACAGGAGGGACCCCTGCCAGGCCCTTCCTCCCTGCTTACCTGTTCATCTTGTCCTTGTCATTCAGGCCACTCTTCCCAAGCAACAGAACCTGCTGCACTTTAGCTACGTTGCCCACGCTGGCAGCTTTGTGGATCTTTCCGAGGTCCTTGTCTCGGATGCGGTACCCGGGCTGGAAGTTGATTCTATGACTGCCATCTCTCCCCGGGCTGATGGAGGAGCCGAAGGGCAACATGCCCTTCTTACTCCTGAAGCCAAAAATCTTCTTCATCACAGAGCCTACAGACTCCAAACACACCTCACCTCCCCCTCGGCTCTTCACAGGCCCCTAAACCCAACACGAGCACTAGAGGTAAACCAGAGCCGTCCCGCCACAACCTCCCAGCTGGGAAGCTCAACGGTTTGGAATCTTGCATCCCAGAATGATCGTTGCTAAGCAACACCTCTAAACACATTGCCCGTGTGCCAGAATGCCCAGGGTGCATGTGCAAGAACGGGAAGTGCATTTTTTGAAAGAAACAAATAATATCAATAAAGCCTACATAAGGTAAGAAGAAATGAGAGGAAATTGAAATAAACACAGAAAGGAAAGCGACATTACAACAGATACCTCAGAAGTAAAGAAGCATAATCATAAGGGACTATTATTATTGATGAACAATTACAAATTGGAAAACTTAGAAGAAATAGATAAATTCTGAGAAACATACATGCTGTCAAGACTAAAACAAGAAAAAAATACAAAAGTAGAAAAACTCAAAGTCCAGTAACAAATAAGGAGATTCAAATATTAATTAAGAAAAAAAAAACTCCCAAAAGTTAAAAGTTCAGGATCAAATGGATTCAAAGCTCAATTCTACCAACATTCAAGTAAGAAAAGTAAGACTATGCATAAAAACACTTGACAAAATTCAAAATCCATTTATGATAAAAATAAATTCAATAAAATAGAAATTTACTCAATACAATAAAGGCCATTTATGAAAAGCATGAAAAGTGAAAGTGATAGTCACTCATATAGTCAGTCATATCTGACTCTTGGCTATGCTATGGATTATACAGTCCATGGAATTCCCTAGGCCAGAATATTGGAGTAGGTAGCCGTTCCCTTCACCAGGGGACCTTCCCAATCCAGAGATAGAACCTAGGTCTCTCGCAATGCAGGCAGATTCTTTACCAGCTAGGCACCACGGAATCCCAAGAATACTGGAGTGGGTAGCTGATCCCCTCTCCAGTGGATCCTCCTGACCCAGGAATCAAACCAGGGTCTCCTGCATTGCAGGTGGATTCTTTACCAACTGAGCTAACAGGGAAGCTAGTCTTGCTTGGGAAAACAGCGTCTGATAGTACGAAAAGCAGGGACTGAAAGGCTTGGAACAAGATGGCTGCCATCTTTAAAAAAAAGAAGCCCTCTGTCCTGTGACTGATTCACGCTGATATTTGGCAGAAACTAACACAATAGTGTAAAGCAATTATCCTTCAGTTCAAAATATATTTAAAACAAAACAAAAACAAAAACAAATCTCTCCCTCAACTATGCTGCCCCCTTCATCTGCAGCCTGAATGATTCTCAACCCAGAACCAAACACCCTGAAGGAGCTGCCCAGTCCCACGCTCTCCTCCTCGCCACAGCCAATATTCTGCTTCCTCACTCTATGGAACTGTTCTCCTCTCTGCCACCGGAGTCCAGAGGAGCCGAAATCAAACAGCTTGCCTACAGGTGAAGGGGGAGAGCTCTCAGCACTTCAGGTCATGGGTGCCAGATGGTAAGGTTCAGAGAAAGCTGCCAGTGACATTACCAGGGTATAAACATCATGTGGTGAGGCCACGAGCTGGATCCTCACTGGTGGGAAAAAGAGCTCAAGACCCTCAGTCACTTGTCTGTCCCCACAGATGGGGAGGGGGCGGGTTGGCGTGCATGCAGTCACGGGCTGTTGTCACTTCCCCACGGTGAGGGGACTCCTCACGCTGTGTCTGCGCAGTGGACACTGTGCTATGATTAAATGTATCCCAGGTGTGGAGAACAGCTGGAGCGCATGGTCAACCTGCCTCAGCCTGGCTCCCAGGAAAGAGCAATGAGTTTTTCTTTCTCTTCCCAGCTAGTGGCTGAGGCTGGGAAGAAGCAGGGAACACGCATTGGCTAAAGAGCACATTCTGATCCAAACTCACAGTGTAATATAAATCTATCATTTCTGATCCTGCAGGACAGGCAACAGTTTAGTCGCTCAGCCATGTCCACCTCACTGAGAACCCATGAATCGCAGCACGCCAGGCCTCCCTGTCCATCACCAACTCCCGGAGTCTACTCAAACTCATGTCCATCGAGTCGGCGATGCCATCCAACCATCTCATCCTCTGTCGTCCCATTCTCCTCCTGCCCCCAATCCCTCCCAGCATCACGCTCTTTTCCAAAGAGTCAACTCTTCGCATGACGTGGCTGAAGTACTGGAGTTTCAGCTTCAGCATCAGTCCTTCCAAGAAATACCCAGGACTGACCGCCTTTAGGATGAACTGGTTGGATCTCCTTGCAGTCCAAGGGACTCTCAAGAGTCTGCTCCAACACCACAGTTCAAAACCATCAATTCTTTGGCGCTCAGCTTTCTTCACAGTCCAACTCTCACATCCATACATGACCACTGGAAAAGCCATAGCCTTGACTAGCTGGACCTCTGATGGCAAAGTAATGTCTCTGATTTTAATATGCTATCTAGGTTGGTCATAACTTTCCTTCCAAGGAGTGAGCGTCATTTAATTTCATGGCTGCAGTCACCATCTGCAGTGATTTTGGAACCCAATAAAATAAAGTCTGCCACTGTTTCCCCATCTATTTGCCATGAAGTGATGGGACAAGATGCCATTATATTAGTTTTCTGAATCTTGAGCTTTAAGCCAACTTTTTCATTCTTCTCTTTCACTTTAATCAAGAGGCTTTTCAGTTCCTCTTCACTTTCTGCCATAAGGGTGGTGTCATCTGCATATCTGAGGTTATTGATATTTCTTCCGGCAATCTTGATTCCAGCTTGTGCTTCTTCCAGCCCAGCATTTCTCATGATGTATTCTGCATATACGTTAAATAAGCAGGGTGACAATATACAGCCTTGACGTACTCCTTTTCCTGTCTGGAACCAGTCTGTTGGTACATGTCCAGTTCTAACTATTGCTTCCTGACCTGCATATAAGGTTTCTCAAGAGTCAGTGCAGATGGTCTGCTCTTCCCGTCTCTTTCAGAATTTTCCAGTTTATTGTGATCCACACAGTCAAAGGCTGAGGCATAGTCAATAAAGCAGAAATAGATGTTTTTCTGGAACTCTCTTGCTTTTTCTATGATCCAGCAGATGTTGGCAACTTGATCTTTGGTTCCTCTGCCTTTTCCAAAACCAGTTTAAACATCTGGAAGTTCACAGTTCACGTATTGCTGAAGCGCGGCTTTGAGAATTTTGAGCGTTACTTTACTAGTGTGTGAGATGAGTGCAATTGTGCAGTAGTCTGAACATTCTTTGGTATTGCCTTTCTTGGGGATTGGAATGAAAACTGACCTCTTCCAGTCCTGTAGCCACTGCTGAGTTTTCCAAATTTGCTGGCATGTTGAGTGCAGCACTTTCACAACATCATCTTTCAGGATTTGAAATAGCTCAACTGGAATTCCATCGCCTCCACTAGCTTTGTTCGTAGTGACGCTTTCTAAGGCCCACCTGACTTCACATTCCAGGATGTCTGGCTCTAGGTGAGAGATCACACCATCGTGATTATCTGGGTCGTGAACATCTTTTTTGTACATTCTCTCTCTGTATTCTTGCCACCTCTTCTTAATATCTTCTGCTTCTGTTAGCTAGGACCATACCATTTCTCGAATCCATCTTTGCATGTAATGTTCCCTTGGTATCTCTAATTTTCTTGAAGAGATCTCAAGTCTTTCCCATTCTGTTGTTTTCCTCTATTTCTTTGCATTGATAGCTGAGGAAAGCTTTCTTATCTCTCCTTGCTATTCTTTGGAACTCTGCATTCAAATGCAAATATCTTTCCTTTTCTCCTTTGCTTTTCTCTTCTCTTCTTTTCACAGCTCTTTGTAAGGCCTCCTCAGACAGCCATTTTGCTTTTTTGCATTTCTTTCCTATGGGGATGGTCTTGATCCCTGTCTCCTGTACAATGTCATGAACCTCCATCCATAGTTCATCAGGCACTCTGTCTATCAGATTAAGTCCCTTAAATCTATTTCTCACTTCCACTGTATAATCCTAAGAAATATGATTTAGATCATACCTGAATGGTCTAGTGCTTTTCCCAACTTTCTTCAATTTAAGTCTGAATTTGGCAACAAGGAGTTCATGATCTGACCCACAGTCAGCTCCCGGTCTTGTGTTTGCTGACTGAGAGGAGCTACCTCACGTCCGAGGTCAGGGAAGGCGGCGGAGAGGAGAAACCCCACGTCCAAGGAGCAGCAGCTGCGTCGGCACAGAAGGGCCGAGAGGAGCTACTCCACGTTCAAGGTCAGGAGGGGCAGCCATAAGGAGATACTCCTCATCCAAGGTAAGGAGCAGTGGCTGCACTTTGTTGGAGCAGCCATGGAGAGATACCGCACGTCCAAGGTACGAAAAACCCAAGTAAGACCGTAGGTATTGTGAGAGGGCATCAGAGGGCCAACACACTGAAACCATAGTCACAGAAAACTAGCCAATCTGATCACACGGACCACAGCCTTGTCTAACTCAAAAAAACTAAGCCATGCCACATGGGGCCTTCCCAAGACAGACGGGTCATGGTGGAGAGGTCTGACAAAATGTGGTCTACTGGAGAAGGGAATGGCAAACCACTTCAGTATTCTTGCCTTAAGAACCCCATGAACAGTATGAAAAGGCAAAATGATAGGATACTGAAAGAGGAACTCCCCAGGTCAGCAGGTGCCCAATATGCTACTGGAGATCAGTGGAGAAATAACTCCAGAAAAGAATGAAGGGATGGAGCCAAAGCAAAAACAATACCCAGGTGTGGATGTGACCGAATAGAAGCCAGGTCCGAAGCTGCAAAGAGCAATATTGCATAGGATAATTCATTAGGTCCATGAATCAAGGCAAATTGGAAATGGTCAAAAAGGAGATGGCAAGAGTGAACGCCAACATTATAGGAATCAGCGAACTAAAATGGACAGGAAGGGGTGAATTTAACTCAGATGACCATTATATCTACTACTGTGGGCAGGAATCCCTTAGAAGAAATGGAGTAGACATCATGGTCAACAAGAGTCTGAAATGCAGTACTTGGATGCAGTCTCAA